AAACGACCATAAATGCAATCTTTGAGTCACCGAGTCACAGACTGGTTGTTGAACATCTAGAGCGGTCGGCAATTCAGACTTGTGCAGTGTGAAACATGTTCTGACAAAAATTACGTCTATGATTACATGCAGCCAATGAGAGAGCAGCATCAAGGACAACAGGAAGTTGGGGAGTTACAAATGTAGATACAGCAAAATCAACTATGGTTTTAAATAAAAAGGGGTTCTTCTCTGTCTATTTGGACCAAAGAAATGTAAAAAAACCTTGCACACTCCCATTTATGATAATCCACCTCTTGCGGTTCTTCTTGCACAGTTTTCTGGGGATAAATGAGCCATAGCGAGCCAAACAAAAGGTTAAAAAAAACTTTGTCCATGGTATAAATAACTATGAATAATCATTAAAACCATTAACGTAAATAACATAATTTATAAGGAAATTATTTTTAAAGTTTGGCTCGGTTCCATTGATTTGTATTGGGGAGAAATTATTCTGCAACTGTCCACAGGGGGGCGATTGCCATGGTTTTGCTTCACTCAGGCGGCCAAGTTCACACACTTGGCCCTGATATGCATTTCCATAGTCAAGTTAAAGTTAAAGTGACCGTCTGAAAGGGAGCTGATGTCAGCAGGGATCAGTGTGACCAACTCCTTCCAGAACTTCATATAGAGGAGCAAAGTGGTGCGTGTTAAAAATCTCAAGTGTTTGTAGGATGAAGAAGATGCAGTGCCCACCTCTTGGCTGCGGCGCCTTATCAAGATGCAGACAAGTGTTTTGAATGCCAGACATGAAAGCAGATGAGCATCCGAGATAACTCTCTATAGTCTGAGCCCTCAAAAGTTTCTCCAGAACCACAAAGATTTTCAACTTCAATCTCTCTGTTTAAGTTGTTTTTGTCAGTATATCATCAATCATCATCAATTTAGTGCGAATATTCTGTGTGTAATCATTTTCTCTGTTTCTGGCGCAGAGAAAGGCAGATGTGTATCTGTAGAATTTCTTGGCTGAGAGCTGATGAAGACGATTAACTCATCTTCCTTTCACAGAGTTAACTCAAACTGAGGCGCGCCTTGTTTTACATTCAGATGAAGGGCTGGTGGTAGGTGCAAAGCTGTTTTTTTGTCTTAATAATTGATCCTTCCGTCTCTTGTGCTCAGACTTTATTTGGGATATCGGAGACTGTCCAGAATGCTTTGAGTAAGTTTAAAAGTTTTAACAGGAAACCAGGAACTCTGGTGCATGTGAATAAAAATCTATTTTGTTTAAAGGGGCAGGAGGATAATAATGCAAAAATAGCTTTTCATTTTGTTGATGACCATGTTTCTTTGCAGAGAAATTTGTTCCTGTTCGCTGGCTGCTACTTCATGGAAAATCATTTCATTTCTTGATGACATTTATTTCTTTTTTGTTCATGCTTTGAACATAAAAGTGGATTTCTAAAAGCGTTACATTTACAGATCCAAAGTAAATGCACAAGATGCACCAAATTAGCTTTCCTCTTTCTAGGTAAAATAAATAAATAAAACTGATTTATATGAAATAAAAAATAAAATTTCCACCCTTAATTCTTTATTATCAGAAACAAATGTTGAACTCTACGTGCTATCTTTGTCTTGTTTCAGAAAAGTTTACACACCCCAGCTCTTAATATTTTGTACTCGCCCCTTTAAGGAACGACAGCCTGAAGTCTCTTGAGGTAGTTGTGGATGAGGTTCTTTATCTTCTCTGTTGGTAAAGCAGCACATTTTTCTTGGAAAAAAGCCTCAGACTTTTCCATGAACGACACGTTTGAGTTCTTCAGTCATACTGAGATCCGTTCCAGAATCTTCTCTTTGTTCTGCTGGAACCAGTGACGAGTGGGCGTGGCCTTGTGTTTTGGATCGTTGTGGTGTTGGAATGTTTAGTAACGTCCCGTTTCCTGGGCCTTTGGAGCTCACACATCCCCAGAAGATCAGTGACACACCTCCGTTCCGATCATCATAGACTTTATGGATTTGGTTGTGGCCAAAAAGTGCAATTTTTTGTCTCATTACTCCAAATAGTTTGGACACTTGCCTCTGTGCTGTTTGATGTAAGCAGCTACTTTGTGTAAATCTTTTTCTTTTTTAAACATTTTTTTCTCAAATAGCCACAACACATTTCTATTTCTATCTATTTTTATACATCACTTTCCGCTTCTTCATCCCAGTTCCTGTTTTGGACAGTTCTACCTCTCTTTTGCTTTCCCCATCACTCAGAATTCAAAAATGTCGGCGTGCCACTGGATGAAAGAGACAAGGGTCTATCAGGAGCCGGAAACCTTTACTGAATAAACATTGACTCCAAGCAAAAAGGTCGAGGTGAGGATGTGCTTCTCTGTTTCTGTGGTCATTAAGATTTCAAAAGTGTTAACAGTCGTTTGAGAATTAATGGCTTCACCCAGCCACTAAATAAAACAAGCTTGAAATGTTTGGAACCAGTAGTTGAAAAGTGCTAGAGTGAGTGAAACTCTCTTAGTGTTAGATTAACACTGGGGCAGTAGTGTTGATTTAACACTGTGAGCTGAGCCTCCTCTTGCGTGATGTTATTTGATGACGAGATCTGCGTTTTAGGGTTGTTTGTGAGCTTTAAACAGCAGGATGTACATTGTTTGCTCTGGACTGCGGGCTGTTTTATGAACCCTCAGCATCCATCCGCTGCTTTGCTAAAACTAATTTCCTTTTCCTCCAACAACAGATTTACTCTATTCCTGTCGGCTCTGTTTGTCTTTAAATATTTAATTCAAAGGCAAACATGCATCAGAACAGTGCGAACAGCCGATCCAAGGCAATCTTACGGCCTAGGTTTTGAACACAGTTCTATTGGTTTTGTCAGCTGGCTGAATTGTGTTAAATAAATCATACGCGTGTACACACCATTCGGCAAACACCAGAGCACGGATCCTCCTTGAACTCTTGACAAAGTGTAGAGTGGAAGGCAGTCGAGAAGACTTGGCTCAAGTAAATAGATAAACACTCGAAAGCAGCGTCATCAGCCACAGCTGTCTGCAGACACACTCGTGTCAAATCAAATCCTGGAGGTTCATCCAGGAAGAAAAACACTGCGTGTGATGTGCACATTTGGCATGTATCAAGTGCACCAAACTGCTGCATAAAGTACTGATTTGAACATCTCTCGTGAAAATCATTATTATCAAGCACTGTGCAAACGGTTGAGGCAGCTGTGAAAAAATGCCGTACTAATAAATTACAGTAATTAATGAATAAAATGCAGTGATGCATGCAGTGCATGAACAAAAGAGAAAAGGAATTAAATGAATATTCTGTGTGACCATCCTTTGCTGCGCTTGGAGCTCTGCTGGTAGTTGTCCTCTGAGAACTGAGAACTAAGCTCAGATCTTCTGTGGATGGAGCTTTCTCACATCCTTCTATCTCTTCATGTATGTAATTTGCTCAATGCAGACTTTGGCTGTGTGTTTGGGGTCATTATCCTGCTGAACAGTCTCCCTGTAAGTTTTGCATGATGTATGAGTATCTGTCTGTATTTCTCAGCATTTAGAACATCATTAACCCTGAGCAGATCTCCAGCTCTGTTTGCAGAAATGCAGCCCCAAATGTTCATGGGACCTCCACCGTGCTTCACCGTCACATGGAGACATTCGTTATTGTACTGTTCTCCAACCCTTCTACACCACAGTTCCTGCATTGTTGTGCACACTGCATTTGCTCTGTCTTGTTCAAGTGTGGGAGGTACTACTTTTTGCCTGCAACACTTTCATGAAGACCACTTCTGGTCAGACTTTAGGCCTCCTACACAGCTGTTTCTGTTTCAGATCATAACTGGGTCCAATCTTATGTGTGATATTGATCAGTAGCAGTGTTGAATAATTGATTGATCTTTCACCCGACTGCAATCCTACTAATCCCGTGACTGTGCAAGTGAAGTTATAAGAAATGATGCTGGTTTGAAGGTCGTGTCACAAAAACACTTTGTATTCTGTAAATGTACAAAAATAAAACAATCATCATTTGAAAGCATTCTTTTTCTAGAGCTTTTGTTCACCTCTGCCAAAACACCCTGTAAATCACAGCATGTCTCAAGCCCTAACAGAGCTTTTAAACAAGAAAATCATAAAACAAAAATTACGTTCAGCCAGAACTTTCCCAACAATCTGCAAAAAAAGTTATTTTCAGGCTTTTGTAGATGAAAAGTATCTTCTTAGCAGCTGCGCTTACTGAAGAGAATCAATGCGAGGATAACTGCTCTGGATCAAAAGTCACCGAATGGCACCAGTCAATACCAAGCCTACAGACAGGATTTGTGTCAGGAAAAATCAGGTGGTGCACACCGCACAGGAGTGTGATACGCTTCGACCTCCAGCTACAATCACTCAGCAAGTCTAAGTGCTCAAATCTGACCAACGTGTCTCACTATTTGTGTGCTTTGTGTTTCAGACTTCAGTGCCCTGTTCCACTCTCAACGGCCTCGAGGCAAACACCTGAAATGGTTTTCCATCAGAGCTGGTCCTTGAAGGAGCTCTTGGAGGGTGGAGGTCAGGTCCATCACCTTATCTGGTTTGTTTGGGATCTTTGTCATGTTGAAAAAACAAAAATGTTTCTTAATGACCTTATGAATTATTCGTTTTTCTGTGAGCTTGGAATTCAGAGCGCTTTCTCATAGCAGAGCCAAAATTTCCACAATTTGATCCAAAGATTTGTGCCAGCGAAAAAGAGTTTCTCAAGGAAGCGACCAATGAAAACTGGCTCTTTTGATGATGTAAGTAGGACATAAAAAAGCCACTCGTTGGCGCTCTTCACACATTTTCATAGCGACTACACATAGAAAACAGGAAAGAAGAAGAAGACAACGACAGAGAAGAAATCAAAGAAAAATCCTGGATGTTTATATGTGGTACAATTATAGGGACAAATATAATTTGTTGATTTTTTAAAGTTCTAAAACGTCATTTATGCATTTAGCAGACTTACATTTGACAGAATGAACACTTTTTCTCAGTTCTTGCTTTCCCTGGGATTTGAACACTGCAACCTTTACGTTGTTAGTGCAATGCTCTACCAACTGAGCCACAGGACAGCTAATTAAATAGAAAAATATTATACTTCAAATATTCTCACAGCCCTGCGACAGACTAGCGACCTGTCCAGGGCGTACCCCGCCTCTCGCCCAATGTGCACTGGCAGACCCCTGTGACCCCAAAAAAGGGAATAATCGGGTTGGAAAATGAATGAAAAATTTTCACAAATACTGCTAGTTTTACTAGAATAATGCACCATTATTTGCCTAATAACATTACCTCTGCACAGTAGACTTATGTATGATGCGTAAAAACTTGATGCATTTCCTGATCCTTCACAATCATTTGTCTGACGAGCACGGCTTTGTAGGGGTGTCCCATAGGCAGTGTTCGGCAGTAACGCATTACTTAGTTACTGTAATTAGATTCAAACTTCAGATTGATATCATTCCTTGCTGCCGGGTGAGTACAACATGCTGTCAAGTGATAATTCTTTTTTTAGTATCTCTCGCAAAACACAAAATAAAAAGCCCTTGAAAAGAAATATGACACTGGTTTTCTAAAGTATTTGTATTTTTTATTCGCTGTCACAGTTTACTGTGACACCAGAGGGTTCAACCAGTTTATTACCAAATGGAGTGAATGCATCCATGTAATGCACAGGCAGAAATCCATCCCATTTGTTTTTGCGATCTCAAGCACACAGTGCCTCTGATAATGATAGCATGGCTCTGCTCTCGCTCAGGGCTTTACAAAAGTCTTCCATCTTTGTTCTTTCAGTCGCTCCATGAATCACAGGAAGTACAAATAGGTGCTCCTTGTTTGATAAATTATGTTTTGCTTGGAGTTTTAATACACTGTACAGAACTACTTTATTATTGTCTTTCCACATTGGCGGAGCTTTTTACGTTTAGGTGCAGATGGAACAAAAAAAAATACAGCAATATTTCGAGGACAAAGCCACAAAGCATTGGCAACAGAAGAGCTTTCTTTATTTTTTGATGAACACAGTATTCAAATAACTACTCAGCCTACAGCATTTTCTGAAAAAAAGATTGGGTAGCGAGGAGCAAGCCAGTGTTGGAAAGAATCTGTTTTTCATCCTAATTTTTACCAAAGATTTGTGCTTAAAATGGGGGAAATTGAACTTGCTCAACTTTGTGAGAAGTAGGACTCAGGAATAAATGTGGAGCAAACCGGTAAAAAACCTTCTAAGTGAGTCTTTCTAAAGCATTTATGGTTGTTTTTCTATCAATTATATGGTATTTTTACACAAGAAACTACAAAAACCAAAAGTTTTCAAGCCAAACACTTTCCCCAGTTTACTCTTGTGTAAAATGAGCTCTGTGAGAAAATGTGAGAAAACTCAATTCTTTTGTCTTTTAATCTAATGTTTGGATCAAAGAAAAGTACATGCCTTTATCAAATCTTTCTATAATACTTGACAAATATATAAATTAATTGCTTAATTTGTTCGTTTTAGACTGTCCATTGTTTAGTTGCATCCATTACTAGTGAGAATGGTTGGCTTCACTTATCCTTCTTCATGCTCACTTCATTCTGAAATGATCATACCAAAAATATTGAGAGTACACAACATTCAAATATTTTTCAACACATGATTTATTTTAAATATGCAAATAATTATGATTACTGTTCAGACTGATGATACTTTTGAAAGAGAACTAAAAAGGACAGTTTGGAGGTGATAAACAAATGTGGGGATGCATTTTCTACAGCGGCGCGAATGAACTCTGGAGCTTGTGTTGCTTTTGTGCTCAATGAATTAAGTTAGATTAGGTGAGTAGTGGCTTCATATTGTTGCTGTGGTTTACTGACAGAATCCCCTTCTATCATATCTTTATCATTGCCAGCCAGATGGATGAGAGGAGATTGAACCGTTCAGTCTGTAAAGAGGAAGTAAATAAGAGAACATTGGTATCTTCAGCAGCAAATTATTGCAGGTGCTGAAGATGAACTTTTATCTCTGTCTCCTATCAAAGGTTCACCCAGACCACAGAGCAACTTTATTTATGGGCTTCAGATTGAGGCAGCCTCCAGTTTGGGTTCAGACCTGCATCCTATAATAAAAGCCTTGGTGTGCTTTGTCAACAACCAAAAACAACAACATTTTTCAATTCACTGAGGTCCACTAATATGATCTCAGTTTAAAAAACAAACAAACACGGTTTTAAATAAAATGTCATTATTACAAGATTATGTTATGGGTGTATTCACATCTCGATAATACCATTTGAGATCTTTACCCTCTTTTCTCAACTTTCTCAGTTTTTCCTCTCTTCTCACCGGCTGTTTTCTTTTTATTGGGTTCACCTGTTTCTTGTCTGCTCTTTGTTTATTTAGGCTTTGTTGTTTGTGTGTCTCTTCCTGTTTTTTATCTTTTGGTTATTATAGAGAACTGTTTTGCCCACGCACCTGTGTGTTAGATCCATGACAGAATAATCTCTTCACAAAAACTCTCAGTGACAGAATTCACTATGTTCCCCATTCAATGTATGTTGGATGACTGACTATGGGAATCAGCGTTTGAGCAGCCAATCAACTTCCGTTTACTCAAAACAAGTAAATGAAAAATGTTTCATTGTCCACAAGGAATATGAAGTCAACTGTTGCAAAATCAGTCATCCTGTTTGATTTCGGAGCCGAACACATTCCTCTACGTGACGTTATTATGCAATCACAGGATCTTACTGGCAATGGCATTAGCTCCTCAGCTAAGTCTCTTACTCTACCTTCCCACATCAAACACTTCCCGCTCGGCACAAAGAGCGATTGTATAAGGATGTGGTCTTGGTGGGAGCAGAAATGATTCAAATGCGCTGTTGAGACTCAACACCCCCCTTCCACCGGTTCCCAGGTTACAGAGCAGCCAGTGACTAGGCCCTGGGTCTTGTCCCAGTGTCAGTGTCTCATATTCCGACCCGACGGTCAACATGACCTCTGGTGCTTTCCCCTTTCGCCTCAACACAGTTGAGATGTATTACTTGTTGTTAGCTTCCCGCTATGTGCACCTTGATGTTTCCATTTCAGAGAAATACCTCCTTGTCTCAAATGGTCTCTGTACACCTCAGGGGATCTCAGGTGGAAGAAGAAGAACCAACGCAGGCTTGGATTTGTGTCTACCATCGTCTGGCGCCATCCTCCATGGAAGAATGTCAGCCATGGCGCTTTGAGGGGTGTTTCCATAGTCAGTCATCTGACATGCGTCTAGATTACTTGCCACAGCTTTGAGATCACATGTATAAGACTGGCAGAGTTCGGTAGTGGGTAGGAAGAGGTATTTCACAACACTTGTCTTTTATCAGCTGTTCATGCCGGTACTCTCTGCACAATGAAAGCTTTTTCATTGGTCCGTTTTGCGTACATGGAGACGTAGACAACTCCAACGTGGATTCCCATAGTTGATCATCTGACATATGTCTCGGTTCCCTCTTCAGGGAACGTGGGCTTACGAAAGTAACCTAGACATTTTCTTGTACCCCTGCCCATCTCCTTTAAAAAAATTGTCATCCAAACCTTTTAAGCAAAACTCTTCTTTCATTGTCCATGAAATTAAGGATCTTAACAAAATATTGTTCATTAAAGCTTATACAACCTAGACCGAACCATAACACTACGCCACCGTCAAAAATTTGATTGGAAAAAAATTGAAAAATTGTCCGTTGACCTGCAGATGATTAGTTTAGGCCTTAAATAACACACCGATCTCTACGCCCTCTAGTGGCAAGAATCAAAATGGCTCCAACAGATATTTTTAAAGGACAATTGGGCAATAATTTTGCTTAAGCTCCACCCACAGGATTAAACTTGATCAAGTGTTTCTAGCACATTTATCAATCCAGCATGGTTATTTTTCTGGACATTTTCCATTTCCTATAGTCTTGGAAGCCAACACTTGGGTGTTGTGACCACACAACACTGTTTTTCTCTCACTCTTTCTATTTGGCATTTTTCTGCTCAGTAGATACACCTTATTAGCAAGTTAGTGAGAATTCTCTGTTGTTTTTTTGCCTCACAGATGGAGCTTCTTCAGTCCTTTTTTGCAAGGTCTTAATTATTTCCAGTTTGTCCTGGTGTGTTCTTCATGCCTGAAGTAATCATTACAATAATAATACATTCATTTTTGCTTTTCTGATCACCCAAGGCCATTACAACACAATCGATAAATGTACATTTAACTATAAAGAGAGTAAACCACAGAAACAAGAAGATATGACAGCTTGAAATGATGGGTCTCTATCAGATGTAGGGAAAAGGCCAATGTTTTAATCAAATGTTATTATTTTATTACACCAATTATTATTAATCATATGCTTTATAATTGGCCAAACAATGCTTATAAAAGTTTTACTGTACGGTATGTTGGAAAAACATTTGTTTTAGATGCTACTTTGTACGAGAGAATAATTGCTTCCCGGGTCACTTGTGTTCAACTCATGGTAACGTATGTCTTTATTGTTGTAAATATAATTAATTTCATTCAATTCTATTTTTTGTCTGAGCAGAACTTCTTTAGAAGCGCTCATAACAGAATATTTGATGCAAAGTGTTGCATTCGTCTTAAAGCATAGCCCAAACATTTGTTTTAGTGGTTATGAGAAGCAGGGAGTGATGAAATGAGAGTTGCTAGTTATCAGTGAAGTTGCTCAGACTGAATTCTGAATCCCTTAAGCGTGTCCCGGTTCCTCTCTTGGGAGGAATGCAGGAGCATCTTGATGCGGCTTTACACTGAGCTCCTCACCTGACTGAAGGCCTTTATACACCCATGTGTTTATTTGATGCAGAGGCTGCGTGCAGTAAATATTTAGCCTTAATTACACGGCGCTAATGTAACAATACACACCAGCCGAAAAAAAACGCACCAATATGGGTTTTTTTTTACAGTGTGCATAAAACACTGTGATTGGCTCGTTTGGTCACATGTCTTCAGCTGGGAAAGGCAGCCATAGATCGCGCTCGAGAACAAAACGAAGAACTGTACTTTCAGAGGGGCAGAGGAAGAAACAGTCTGGAGAAGCATCCAGTCTTTGCTGAATTTAA